TGCGGGGGAGAGACTCCTGTCTCTTTTGCATCCCCCAACCCCACCATTCTAGGACTGGTAGTTTAGTAACACACTGTTAAGCCAGTCAGTGAATGTCTCTTTGCCTCAGTTTTCACATCTGTAAAATGGTGAGGGCCACATGTACTTCACTTACCTCATATTTTAAGGACCAAGTAGGATGGTGGATGTGGAATTCCTTGAAAAATTCAAATGTGCAGGCATTCTTGTAGGGTTGTAAAATAATTTACAAGAGAATCCAAATAAATTGGACTTTCAAAAGTGATCATGGTTCCCATTCTCACAATCTAGCCCCATGAATTTTCATTTGTCATTTTATGACAAGTATTTATTGAGCACCCACTAAGTGCCAGGCACCGTGTCAGGTGCTAGGGATGCTGTGGCACCCCCTTCAATCAATTCCTCACACAGAGCCAGAACAAGCCTGCTAAATTAAAGTCAGATCCTGTCCCTCTTTTCTTCATAACGCTGTCATAACTCCCATCTTACTCAGAGTAAAGTCCAGCATCCTGCAATGAACGCAAAACCCAAATGACCTGCCCCCTTAACTTCTCTGATCTCAGCTCCTACTACTCTTCCCTCATCTACTCAGCTACAGCCAAACACTCCTCACCACCGCAGGGCCTTTGCACTTGCTGCCCCCTCTCCCTGCAATGTTCTTCCCCCAGACATTGGCACGGTTTGATCCCTCTTCTCTTTAAGGTCATGACTCAAGTGTCAATGGGGTCTTCTCTGGACACCTTCTCTAACATTTCAGGCCTCACATTTCCTGCTCCTCTTCCTAGCTTTTGGTATTTTCCTTACTATCTAAATACTATTTATAGACTGTATTGTCTGTCTCTTCACTAGAATGTCACCTCCATGAGAGGAGGGGGTCTTGTCTGTTTTGTTCACGTTGAATTTGCAGTGCCTAGGGTAGTGCCTGGCACATAGCAGGAGCCTATTAAATATTTCTTAAATGGTGAACATATGGTCAGGGTCCCTGCTCTGAATCCTGCATTCCATGAGCAGAGAACCTGCTGGGGGTATGGGGTGAGGGGGCAGTGGAGGGGGCTACAGACCCTTTGAACAACAGAAGTCTCTATGGCCCTTGCTTTCTGAGGATGTCATTGCAGGATTGCAATATTACTAGTCTCGAGCAGCACGATTTATAACAGGAGTTAACTGCTTACTAATTAGCAGCTGGAACCGTTAAATTGGCTATTTGTTAGAGCTGGAATTAATAAACTGGTCTTTCAGTGGGGTCATAACTCTCCCCGTTCCTCACTCCTCCCAGCCAGCCCTCCCCTACCTGACCAGAAAGTGGCTTGCCCCTAGATTGAATCAATACCTCTCACTGCACGATTTTCAGAGACAATTTCCCTTGCAAGGTGATGACGCTATTCCCGCAAAGACTCTCTCTCTCTCCCTTTTTCCTCTCCCAGGCTCTGCCTTGCTGGAGACAAGCGAGTGAGCGAGAGGCGGGAGGAGATGGGAGAGCTTTCTAGTAAGGCACTCTCACAACAGAAGCCCGAAGCTGCACTGCTTGGCTGAGATCTGGGGCTCCTGGTTCGCTGGCCTCTCGCGTACCCCCCCCCCCCACTCAGCAGCTGGTTACTTAGTCTTCCTGGAGGTGGCAGGCTGGGCTTTCTCTAGGGCAAAATAATGGGGTTTTTCTTAGAATATCATGGGTGGAACCCAAGAGTTGGCAGTTGGGTGCTGACCATCAAGCCTCCAGACAGCCTGTGCCCAGTGGTCCGCTTCATGGATGCCTCAGGTCCAGTGATCTAGCTCTCATCCCCCGCCCCACAAGAGCCCAATTTGGGGCCCAGAGGACTGTTCTCTATTCGAGAAGAGAATAGGAGCACTTCTTGTGAAAATATTTACTAAATACCCAGGCCCTTCCGTCTCTTCTCTACCGAACAGTGGGAAAGAGCAAGGCCGCAGAGCCCACTTCAGCCACTTAGCAGCTGCGTGACTCGCTGACTCTTTCTATGTTATTCTATGGGAATAACAGTCCTATCTCACATAGTTGTTATGAGGATTAAATAGTTAATACACGTGAAGGGCTTAGAACAGTGCCTGGCATGTGGTGTCAGCTATTACTATTACCACTCGCTTCCCTCGACCACTCTCCGAAATAGGGACCCTACTCACTTTACAGCTGGGGAACCTGAGGCCTAGAGAGTTTAAGACTGGAGCTCAGGACAGATGGCTCCCAAGCCTAGTGCTCTTTTCCTTCTCCAGGCTGCCTCCCATTGTCAGACTCAGGGCTCTGTCAGAGGCAACAGGCAAGGCACACCTAGTGGAGGAGATGACTGAATTTACAGGCACGCGCAAGCAGGCTGTCAGGGTATTTACACTGCATACAATTAGCTGCAGAGTATTCACAAGTGGATTAGCTACAGCAAATGTTCAATCCCAGCCTGGCTAGAATTTGATTCTCTGCTCCCCCTCCCTTTTATCCCTCCCCCATCACAACTCTTCTCTCTCTAGGCCAGTGTAGGTATTCAGAGATGGTATATTCAAGTGACTGTCAGCTGAGTCAGTGGGGTTCCTTGTTCACCAGTAATGCACCCCAAAGCCAAAGAGGATCAATTAACTATTTGGGGTTGGACTAGCTAATTGAAAAATAGGAAGGCAGTTTCCAATGACATGGACAAGTGCTCATTCAACTCAAAATGGGCAAAGCCAAGGAGGGTGGGAATCACTGTGATCACTCCCTGAGAGCTTCCTGGAGGAGGTGACGATTTTTGAAAAATGGGAGAAAGATGACAATAAAAGAAGCTACTCACCATCACACCCTCAGTTGGTGCCACTTCCTTTTCAGACTGGGTGGGGGAGGTTGGTGGGAAGATACAGAGCCTGATAGCTCTGTATCTCTGTGAGGCAGAAAATGGACTTTTCTCTTTGGTTTGGGGGGGCGGTAGTGGGGAGTGAAATTTTTTAAATTTTGTTTTAATTTGCGTAGAAAAGATGGTGGCATTGAGGGTATCCTAGGTCTGTGGTATCTGGCCTATGATGGGAATCACTCATTCATTTAACAAGTCTTCAGTTGGCATCTGCTGGGTGCCCCAAACTAAGTTGGATCTGGTTCACCTTATTCAGCCTTGGACCCACAGGTAAGGAAGGAGAGGAAAAAAAGGAGGGGTTGAAAGAGGAGAGATCAAGTGGAGGGTGGGCTGAAGAATAAGATTCTTCCGATAAAAGAATATGAAAAAGAATGTATGTATTGGGTTGGCCAAAAAGTTCATTCAGGTTTTTCCGTAAGATGTTATATGTATAACTGAATCAGTTTGCTGTACAGCAGAAATTAGCACAACATTGTAAATCACCTATACTCCAATAAGATAAATTTAAAAAAAAGATTCTTCCGATGGTCTCGGACTTTCTGAGATGGACAGAAGGAAGCTGAGATGTTACCTGATGGCACGACCCCCCCATGCTGCCTGGAATTTCTCTAGACACCTCACATTCCTGCCACCCCACCTCCGAAGCTGGGGGCACGTGCTCCTGTGAGGGTTAGCCTCTGGAGGGTCAGGAGAGGAGGGAACCAGCAGGACATGCGCCTGGGAAAGGGGTGGCTTTTTTTTTTTTAATTTTGTTTTAATTTGCGTACTGAAAAATAAAGTCTTTTTTGGTATACAGTCTTTGAGTTTTGACAAATGCTTGGAGTCGTGGACTACCATCACAACCAAGATATTACGCAGTTCCGGGGGGTGGGGGAGGAGGGTTTGTAATCTCCCCGCTTGTTAGTTGCTGCGGTTTTCCGCGCTCCCACGGGCAGCCCTAATACAATCCTTGCGCACACGCCGAGATAAATAACGGCGACAGGTGGAGCAGGTGAGATTAGCAAGACCTGGGTAGAGGAAAACGATCGGAGGTGCGGGGGAGGCCGCCCGCCTTGCTTCCTAGCCTTTACCTCTCCCTACCGGCGTTTGGGAGGAGCACTCTCCCCATCCCTGCTCTCGGAGGGCCGGTTTGAGGTAGCGGAGTCCGGGAGTGCGGGACCCCGCAGGTGGAGCTGGCCCCTGGCTTGGCTGCTGAAAGAGAGGGCGCCCCTGGGGCGCCTGAGGTCTTGAGGGGAGGCAGGACGGAGAGAGGGGCGAGCTGGGGATAATGGAAGGTGGCCTGGGGAAGCTCTGGCTGCGGGGTCCTGCGGACAAACCTGTTGGCAACCTGCGGGCCGAGGCAAGGGCAGGAGCTCTGATCGCACCCTTTTCGCCCCGGGCTCAGCCAGCTGCTCCGGCGGTGGCCCCCAAGCCGGACGCCGGGAGAGGCCGAGGCTGCCTAGAAAGGGGCGGGGCTCGGCCAGGGGCGGAGGGACTCCAGGGCCGCGCAGACAACCCTGCAGACCCACAGCAGGCGACCGGCTTGCGAGCCTGCAGGACCCCAAGAGCCGCGGGCGCCCCGGCCCCCGGCCTTTCCCTTCGATCCCCGCTTCAGTCCCGCCCCCCCAGAAGTACAAAACATTTACAAAGTGGGCAGTGCCCCGCAGGCCAGGCTAGAGTCCCCGGGGCGAACGGCCGTGCTTGCCCAGCGAGAGTACTGGGATCGGTGCACCCGGCTCGGGCAGCCGGTCTGGGTGTGCAAGGGCGGGCGAAGAGCGAGTGTGCGAGCGCGCTGCAGAGCCCGCGCCGAAACCCACGTCTCTTCGCCTCTGTCCTCGGGATAGATGGATCCATTTCTGCTTTCTGACATTTTCCTGCTGGGGGGATGGGGGGGCGAAGAGAGGGAGAGAAGGGGGGGGTGCGGGGAGGGGGCGGGGAGGGGAGTGGGGGGGAGGGGGGGGGGGGAGAGAGAGAGAGAGGGAGAGGGAGAGAGGGAGAGAGAGAGAGAAAGGCAGTCTGCTTCCCCCAGCCCTGTTTTGTTTTCTCTAATTGGTCCTGGGGGAGGCGAGGAAATTGGACAGAGGCTGGACCCGGCGAGCTGCGCTGCCTTTAATTGGCTCCTTTTTTTTTAACTGGAGGGGAATCAAACAGGAGAGCGAGCGACAAAGGGTGGGAGAGCGAGAGACCGAACGAGGAGACGCGAGGAGGAGGGAGGAGAGGGGGAGGCGGGGGGAGCGCGGAATGAAAAGCTCGGAGCGGGGAAAAAGCAGCACAGCGAAGCCCAAGTTGCCGAGCGAGCGGAGCGCTCTCGCGGCCCGGAGCCCAGCTGCAGCCGCGCCCGGCAGCCCGGCCCGGCCCCGCCTGCTCTGGGCCCCCGCCGGCGGAGGCCGCCGGGCGGGGGCGGGGACGGAGACGACCAACTTGGGTCGCGGCGCATCCCGGCTCTCCCGAGAGCGCCGAGCCCGGGAGCGCCACCGCCACGGCCAGACGGCGGGAGCGGAGCGAGGCGAGCAGAGGCGGCGAGCGACTCCCGCGCCGCAGCCCAGGCCTTGGCGAGAGCGCGAATATTTTTCAAACGACTCAAACTTTCCTTCTTTCCCCGCGTTCTGGGGTCTCTCTTGGATGGAATTGCTCTCCTGATTCCCGCGGGGCGCTGGGGCGCGATTCCTCCCCGGGGTTCCTCGGTGGCTCGGCTAACTTCGCGGACCCGTGGACCCGTGACTCTCGCCCCTCCGCGGAGCCTAGCCCGCGCTTCTCCCCTGCTCAGGAGGGCCAGAGCCGGGGCTTTTCGCCTCCGAGAGGACGCCCAGCCCGGCTCCCTTGGGTCGGGCCACTGAGCCCCCAGCACCAGCCGCAGAACTGGAGACAGCGGATTAACCCCAGCGGAGCCCCGGCCTCCCCGCCCCAGCTCCGCGGAGGGGCGTCCCCTGGGCGGGGAAACGACAAGTTTGTCAGTCGTCGGTGGCCTGTTGGATCGAAGCGCCTCCGCCTCCGCAAAGGGGTCCCTGGCGCCCAGAACCCCGAGCGGACATCCCTGGGAACCCGGAGAGGCTCGGCGGCCGGACTTCTCGGGCCGGGGCGCTGGCTGCTGCGCCGGGCGCGCCGAGGCACCCGGGGCCGGGCCAGCGCCCCCTGCGTTCCCACGCGGGCAGCGGCCCCGCCGGAGGAGAAACCCAGGTCGCTGCCGCCGCCACCGCCGACTCCTCAGCCTCCTGATTTCCGTTGCCGCCGCCGCCGCCCCCTCCGTCGCCTCTCGGGGAAGGGGAAGACGCAAGGGGCATCGCAGGGCCCCGGCGGAGGCGCCCCCCACCGCCTCTCGGGCTGTGCCGCCTCGCGGGGATGAAGCACGGGCCGTGAAGATGGAGGTGACCTGCCTTCTACTTCTGGCGCTGATCCCCTTACACTGCCAGGGACAAGGAGTCTACGGTAAGAGCCCGCGTCCCGCTCCATGCCGGCTTAGCACCGCGCGGAAACTTTGCAAAAGGCGCAAAGTGCGCGCTGCCCGGGTTTGGTGGGTACCCCGGCTCGGACTCTGGAGTGGATGCCCGGGTCCCCGCCCTTTTCCAGAGAGCGAGGAGATCGAGCTAGCTGCTTCAGAGCACGGAGACAGGTTGTAGGGTCTGGCGTGAAGCCAGGGATGCCAGGGGGAGGTAGTACCCACTTTCCCAAACCCTGCCAGGGGCGGGAGTGAATCGGAACCCTTGAGAGCACCCAGTTGGCTCGGGAGACCCTGACAGACCGCACACCGGGGGCTGGGAAAACAACTTGCACCGAAACCTCATCCCGCCCTGGCTCGGCCTCCGGAGTGGAAGCCGAGCGATGCACGATGCGGAGTTGCGCCCGGCTGGCGAGCGAGCTGGCTGTCAGTACCGCGGCCCGGCGGCTGGCTCGCCTTCCCGGCTCTCGCTGGGCTTCGCTGCTTCGCTTCTTGACAGCCCAAGCGGATGCAGGCATCCCCCAGATCCGGCTCCCCAGACCCCAGAATCCCTTTTCGGACCTCTCCTGAGCCAGTTAGTTCTTCCTGTCCCCGGTTCCCAGCTACAAAACCCCAGCCCCACCTTCCTTCTGCCTGCGCGCACACATTCAGCCACAGTCCCCAGAAAAGCAAACACTGCACGCACCCATCAGGCTACGTGTCGAAACTCTGCCTCCTGCCACGCAGCTTTGCTCCCGCGTCCGCACCCAAAACTCTCAGGCGCCAAGGGAACTCTGGTTACCCCTTCTTCCTTCTCCCTCGTGGGTTTTCCCGGAGAAAGATCCCGGGAGTGGGCATCATCCGTTCAGGATGACGAGGGCTCATTCCTCTCAGGGACTTCCCCTCTGAGTTCTGGCAGCCAGCAATGCCCTGACCCACAGCACAAAAAGTCTTTGGGGCTCGGTGGCCCTTACTTTACCTTCTTCTAACTGCAGGGTGGTCTGTATAGGTCACTTTTTTAATGATGTGTAGCTGGAGTGAGGAAGATTCTCTTTCCTTCTTTCTCTAGGGTTGAGGACCTAATTATTCACCTTTAGATCGGGAGAGGGTTTGACCTATTCTGTTGAGGGGGTGGGGGCAGAGGCATTGTCCCTCAGCTGCCAGCCTCAAGTGCAGCTGCTAAATGCTTCCTTCTGGGGATGCCTGGCCTGTCTCCCTGAGCCTGGCAAGAGGGAGGGGTGTCCTGGGGGTATCTGGGAGGTGACATCCTCCTGGCTCTACACAGCTAGCTGGCTTGGGCTTAATTCCCTGGGGAGGCTGGCCCAGGCATCTGGCCAAACTCTGCCTCTTAATTAGTTTGTGTGTCTCTTACTGCCTGGCCCTTTACATAGGCCAGAAAGGGAAAGAAGGAGGAAGAATGCAGCAGGGACTGAGAGAGGCTGCATTGTGGAGAGGAGGCCACTGAGCGTCTTCCAAAGGCCTTGGCCTCCCCAGGGTAGGGGAAGACATCAGGGTGTACTGGGGGGTCCTCTTTCTTTTTTCTCCTCAAGGTTTCCCTACAGCTTCACTGTCTCCTTAAGAGGTGGCCTAAGGAGGGACCTGCTGAGGTCTTTGCCTTCTCACCACACCCCAGGGGCTCTGGAGAGCGATGGGGAGCCCTCCGCCTCTGCTGCTATCCTCCACCCTGCTCCTCCCACTGAGTGCCCTTGGGCAGATCTGGCAGGCCCATCTCCTGGCCATTGCTCTTCTCTATCCCCTCCAGTTTCTTCAACCTTATCCGGGGCTGCGTGGGACCCATCTTGAAGAGGCTCCCCTGAGCCTAGCCTGGAAACCCCAGCAATGAAGGCAGGGGGTGGGGCAGTAGTTCCTGTGGACCCTGATTCAGAGTACTTTGGGGCCAGAATTTAGCTGTCGGCTTGTAAGTCCCCCTTTCTCTGTATTTTCTCCACTCCCTCATGTGCCTGGGTCCCAGCTGCTGTCACTCAGAGCACATCAAGGTGTGTTGCTGTGCACTGGGGCCAACCCGGAGCTCTTGGGTGACATTCTTTCCACTTGCCCTTTGAGAGCATGACTCCAAGGAAGGCCTCAGGGGAACTGCACGGTGAGAAGTCTTAATCGAGGTGGATGGAGAGTGGAGGATCTAGTGAGGAGGAGGACCACAAGAGGCTGCCGAGTTCCTTGTGATGCTAGAAGCTTTGGCCAGATATAGCAGAAGGGAGAACTATGGTATCACCGGGTCTGGGTTAAAGAAATAGTATGGGGAGGGGCTTCCCTGGTGGCGCAGTGGTTACGAATCCACCTGCCAATGCAGGGTACACGGGTTTGAGCCCTGGTCCCGGAAGATCCCACATGCCGCGGAGCAACTGCGCCCGTGCACCACAACTACTGAGCCTGCGTTCTAGAGCCCGCGAGCCACACGTACTGAGCCCGCGAGCCACAACTACTGAAGCCCGCGTACCTAGAGCCCATGTCCACAACAAGAGAAGCTACCGCAATGAGAAGCCCGTGCACCGCAATGAAGAATAGCCCCCACTCACCGCAACTAGAGAAAGCCCGCATGCAGCAACGAAAACCCAACGCAGCCAAAAATAAATAAATTAATTAAAAATATTAGTTCTTAAAAAAAAAAAAAGAAATCATATGGTGAGCTAGTTCTTCTGCTCCACTCCCCCCCAAAGCAGATGAAGCAGTTTGAGAAAGAGTAGAGTGCAGGGGTGAGGGATGGCCACTCATGCCCATCATTGTATGTCAGCACCTAGCACGGTGCCCGGCACACAGCAGGAGCTGGCAAGTACTTGTTGCACGAATGAAGGGCCATTGTTGGGGGGAAGTTGAGGAAATGCTTCTTGAAATTCTTTCTCTCCAAGAACTCTGTCTAGGATGGTTTCCAGCAGCGTAGTGGGGTCTCTCTGAGAGTCTCTGCTTAGGGAGAGTCATGGAGTCCTAGGCTGGCAGCCGGAGGGGACCTCAGCTTACCTGGCAGTGAGAAGGGAGGCAGGTTTTACTCAAGGCACAAAAGAAAAAGTGTGCCGGAGGGAGGGAACCCCAGCCTGTGTGGCTGAGGGAGGGGCAGATTAACATGGAAGCTGAATTGAGGAGAGGGAGGAAGAGCAGGCTGTGTAGGATAAACCCGTCAGGATCTGGCCTGGGCTGTGGGTCTCCGATGAGGCTGGTGGGAGGCAGGTGCCTGGAGCCCTATACCTGGCTTCCCTCTGAGTGTGCTCTTGTCGTCTCTGAGGTCCGCTGTCTACAGTAGGGCTGGGGAGGTGCTGTCAGTCTGGTCAGGTGGTTTTGCTCTTCTTGGGGGCACAGATGCTACAGGAGCTGAGTACTGGACCAGATGGTCCATTTGGAGCCTGTCCCCTCTTCCCTCCTACCTCCCAATCTCCTGGCCCAGTTTGTTGTGCTCCCAGTGGATCCTGTAATCTGCTTTCTGGCAAGCCAGGGGGGTGGGCTGGCCCCAGACGCCTAGTTCTGGGGCAAAGACAGTAGCTAGGTGATGGAGGAGGAATAATCTATGTGTGGATAGCATCAGAAAACACCCCCTCCTCCATCCTGTCTTCCTCTCTTCCTTCCATAGCTGCTGGACTTCCAGCCAGGGGCAGGTCAGTGGGACTCCTCTCCTTTACAAAAACACAACAAACCCCTGGATTATTTAACATGCAGGAGTGCGAATTGACATTATCCTTAAGACAGGTTGTTTGCAGCTTACTGGTGGAAGTCAAAATGTTTCACCAAAGGTGTCATCGGAAACTACTACCCTTTGCTAATTTTCGTGGGAACATGAAGACAGATGTTGAATAATTTGACAGGAGCAACATAGCTTACAGAATTGTCACCAAGTCAGGTTTTTTCCCCTCCTCTGAGGGGTGCGGAGAGGGAATTTCAGGAAGTGTGTCTCCCAGTGCCGTCTTCTGGGTGTTGATCTGAGTGTGGGCACCCTTGGGATTTTTCGCTGGCATTTCTACCCCATGCCTTGAAACTGGCTGTCCCCTGGAGAAGGAAGGCATCGCATCAGAAAACTCTGGCCTCCCAGGGCAAGCAGAAGGCTTGGGGGTTTCTAAATGTCCTCAAGAAGATCCCTGCCTCTGTCCCTTCTTCCTTCTCAGTTATAGAAACTACGTGAGGGAGAAAGAGGGCCTTGTGTCCACAAATCCAGGCTGTTTTGTTTACTTTGTCAGCATCTTCTGCACCCCTGCCCCACCGAGTTTAAGTTGACCCCTGTGCTAGTCTGAGGGCTCCCCGGCCTGACGTCGGGCCGGAGAGTCCTCCTTCAGGTCAAGAGCCCCATAATGTCCCATCGTACACTGCAGGCTGCAAACCTGTGCTTCCTGCCTGGAAGGGGGCTCTGGGGAATGGGGCTGGGGGTGGTTAGAGAGGATGAGTTTGTTAGCCAGGAAGGCACCTTCGAGAGGCGGGCTGGGGACATGCCAAGAGCCTACTTGTAATTGGCCAGGCCTAGCTGTGAGCTGCTGGGGCCAGGGTGGCAAAGCCTCGATTAGAGCCTGGTATTAGCTCTGCTTTGCTGGAACATGGAGGGACGGGTGAGGGCTCCATAGGGAGAATGGAGGGAGCTAATCACAGCTGCCAAGGCCAACAAATGAATGATGCAGGAAATCAATACCTGGGGGCGGGAGTGGAAATCCGGGCAGTGGTAGCAGCCATGGCTTCTCCCGCTGCCCAGGAGGCGCAGGTGGGCCTGGGAGGAGTGAGACAGAGGCAGCAGTGTGAGGACCCTCCTCTCCCCCACACCCTCCCCCCTCCCCTTCATCTGCCTTCCTCTCCCCCACTCCTCCCTTTCATCTCCTTGTGGCTGGGCTCAGGGAGGATGGGCCAGGAGATGCCCCACCTGGCAAAAACAGGGGGCCTGGGAGATGGGACCTTGGGCCACTCAGTGCTGGAAGAGCGCTCCCCAGCTCTGACATGCCTCTGGACACCTGAACCTGACTAGGCTCCAGGTGTGAGGGTGTGTGCCTGGGGACCCTGCCCTGTGCTGCTGGCCCTGCACTGC